AATTCAATAAGGTTAAATGAAATGGAGAAAAATTGCGTATAATTTAATATTACGTACAAGAAAGTCATGTGATGCACATATCAGATTTTTTATATTTATATGTTCGTAAATTGCACTCTTTTGCTTTAAAAATGATTGAATTATGTTGTCCTTATTTTCTGGTTAAGGTTTTTATCCCTTTAGTTAATTTACATACAATAGTTGTAGAATTATCAACAATTTAAATGTTGTTTAAGTGCGGCTAGGCCTAATTTTTGTTGACCGTAGCAGTCTTATTTGTCTACATTTGAAACTTAGCAGAATACTGAATTCAGCTTTTGCACCTTCAGTGTCTTTTAGCCGAGTGGGTCAAAAGTAAACTTTCATTTTTGTGCACCTTAAAATATGTCTTGTTGCCTGTTGGCCGAATTGCTTATTTTTTCCCTAGAAATTGTAATTTTAATTATAACTTTTTTTATTATTATTATTATTATTGTTTTAACTGTATTTGGTATTTTATTTTTTTCTATATTTTTCAATTTTTAATGAAGATATTTTGAGGTTTTATGTATTTTTGCATTGTCGCGAACTGAGAACAGAATTAATTGAATGAGAAATATATCTCTAATGAAATTCTAGGAAATAAGTTTAAATTAAATGCAGCAAATAGTGCATATAATTTAATATTCTGTACAAGGAAGGCGAGTGGTGTACACATCAGATTTTTTATAAATTAAATCTTAATCTCCAATAGCAATATCAAAAAAATTTTCTATCAAATTACAATAACAGTACGCAAATATTTCTGTTGAAATTTCATCCTGTCAAAAATTCTTTCACCTATCCTTAGTGTATTTTAGGAGAGAATTTCGTCCGGTACTTCGGCCTTTTTGAGTAATTATATATAGTTAACATATTCACTTTTATCTGAAACTGCTTTGAAAACCGTCACATTTTCGACAGTGGGCATAATCTGAGCATCAGATTAACATGCATTATTTTTCTTTTGCATTTCACATCACTACAAAATGTAAGTAATCATGAGGTGCGGTTTCGAGACATTCATCAAATACCAGCCTCAATGGATAAAAGTTACTCTGAATATCTTGTTGCTCCTACCCCCTTGTTATTTTCACAAATGTATATTTGTGTATGTTTTTCACTTCAGATGACAGACATTAGCTGATAGTTGCTTACGTGCCTTGTAAATCCCTTATTTTTATAACAGTTCTGTCAATCTACATTTTACTCTGTTGCGTGACTAGCATGTTTTAGAGCTCTAAACTGAATCTCCTAGGTGACTGTTGATTCTAACAGACTGAAGCTTCCATCCACGTTACCATCAATGTCAAAGAATTTGTTAATGGCATGGTCTCCGATAGATGGATAGACCCCTCTGTTAATACAGATCGAGCTGCCTCCTGGAAACTCCATCTTTTATCATGTAAAAGTCATTAGATAATATTTATCGCAATAAAGCTACGAGATAACTGAATTATTTAAAGATGCTATTAGGATGATATTCAAATACGAACCACAAAACACACATCTTTTGTAAAATTTCGCACAAAACTAGGCATAGCGATGCATCATTTTGTACCGCGATAGTTAAGGTGTTCACACTGATACTGTGGATGCTTAAACAAAGATATCAGCCAGTATTAATTATCTGAAATAATATACAGACATGAAACGTATATTCGTGAGCAGAAATGGGAGGATAATAATAAAATGGTCCGGACTGTTTGATAGGCCCACTGCATGGCTCGCTCACCCATTGAAATTCTCCATTTCTGTCAGGCGTTGCGAGCTGCAAACTCAGCGATCATTAAGCTTCCATGTACACCACTCATCCCGGGTCCAACAACCTGAGGGTGGCGGATTAAAAATACTGCCTCTAAACACCACGAATGATGTGGAACTTGTGAAGCTGGAGAAAGACTGATCGTCAAATTTGCTACCTACCAGACAGGACTTTCGAAACCGAACCCCTCTATGGGGCCCCAAAATTACTGGGCTGTAAGCCTTACCCTATTCCACAGATTACAGGAACCCCAGTTCACATATTTTATACCCCCAGAGCCAAGACTTTTAAAGTACAGATATCCGCCAGACTCCTGTATTTTGTATCACTAGAGCCAAGACTGCCAAAATACAGATTACAGCCAGTACAACATACAAGCGCAGGCGGAAACAGGGGATAACAAAGCTTTCGGACCACCGTATACAAGGTCAGTCAGTAAGTGGTAACATTTAAAAGCCTCTTCCTCAATGATTCGTCTTTGGCAAGCATTTTGCACTATGTTTTGGATTGCTTTCTGTCTTTATGTACTATGTTTTGGAACTCAAAAATATCTTGAAGATGATTTTATTGATTCTTAATTAATAAAAATAATAAATGGATTACTTAAAGCTGTATAAAAGTGCTGTATTATTAATTGCATTTGGATTGTACTGAAATTACCATGCATTTATTAATTACCTGAGTTAACATCCTATTTAACATTATTTGTGTTTCTTCTAGTAACATTGAATTAGTGAATGTAATTACTGTTTATCTTTCATTCAACACTATATCTTATGTGAAATCCGATTTTAAGTTTCTAGGTAGCTGATATAGAAAATAATTAATGAAAAACAAAAAAAAAAATCATTATGGGTTTAAGTTAATTTCTTTAGCATTTTTACTGTAGTCAAGCATTGAAAAGAGGGAGAGAAAAAAATCTGTTATTTCAAAAATTGATGTACTATATTAATCAAAATTAAGTAACTTTCTGAATTTAAAACCTTTGCCAGTATCTGAATCCATTTTAATTCTTGAAATTTTCATACATTCTGGATAATAAAATGCCCGTTTCATTTCAAGAGTGGGGAAAAGAAGGACTGGGTAAAAGTGTCAAGTATGAAATTCTACTTTGCTTCATAGTTTTATATGGAATTATATATGTTATTAATTTTATCTCCTTTGTCTTTTAATTTCAGTCTATCTCTATGCCTGTATATTATTACTTAGTTATTACACTGTAGCTACAGGAGATAGAAATCATAAACAATGCGTTATTCCGACACAAAGGAAATACCAACATTATAATGTAGTTCAATGTGTATTAAGTACGTTTCCATGCTACTTAATGAGAAATTTATATTAAATTACATAATTACTGCCTAAGTCAACTTAAAACGTGCAGTTAGAGCAGCTAATTGTAACAAAAAACTACAACAAAAACATTTAAACTAAAAACTAAGTTAATATTTTATATCATAATATACTGGTCTTTCATTAAAGAGGTCTTTAGCTTTAAAAAACATCGTCGATCACTCACTGGATCAAACATTGGTAGACCAAGTATGCAGATTTTCTCTGCAATAAAAGAACGTAATCTTTGGCAAATGCTGAACTTGCCAGTACGTCATTTGATATCAGCAAAATAAGCCATATGCCTAATCTTTAATACTACATTTTAAACTGTAGCTTAAAAACCTTCACCTAAATCATATTTGAGTAAAGTGGGTACATGGATAGTTTCATAATGCACCTGTCAAACTCTTTTATAGCCATAAAAGTAAAACTTTAAAAAAAAAACTAAAGTTCTTCACATGGCTGTAAACGAACACCATTTCTTTTAAGAAGTAACCTCATTTGTAATTTAGAGCAAATATTTTTTTCCCCCTGTGCAAATTGACAAATTGTTCCTTTGTGGGATTTCTGTTTGTCAGTAAAGAGCTTTGGAGATACTGGTGATCTCACATCTGACAGATTTTCATACCTGTACAGGGCTGGATTAACCATTAAGAAGTATAAGCACATGCTTAGGGCATCAACAAGAATAGGCACCACAAAGAAATTTTGAGATATTCAGGAAAGCGGCATCTAAAAAATTTCCTATTGCCGGGTTTACCATAGAATGCATAATGCAGCCAAACCAAAACAGACAAAGAGAAAGAATGAAGCAAAAACTGGCATAAACATATGTGGGGGGAGCATAAGTCTTATAATTACTTAGGGCCTTGAGAAGTCTTATTTCGGCCTTGTGCCTATAAGTAAGTCCTCTTTAGACATATTCAATGTGAGTTGTTTAATCCTATAATCTCACGCTTTTAAAAATGTTCATTGCTTTTAAAATCAGAATCTCAGCCAGATGTGTACTTACAGTAAAGCCTCTTCGTATATTTAATATCGCCCCTCCCATTCTGAAAACTAACTATAAGCCTCTGTTCATACGGTGGTAATAAATGTCATAACTGGTTTAAGCCGAGCTTCGTTGCCAGGTAACCAGACCTTGATACGTCACAAAACCTGATTTGGAAGTTATAAAGTTTGAAGTTCTCTACTCTATGCCAACCTGGTATAAGAGTGGACCAATTGGAGCGAACGCATGAAACGTATTAAGCTTGGAAACAAAGCGGGAAAGCTGTAGACATATCCACACATGGGCAAATTAGCTTCTGTAACTGGCTACGCCTTAAACTCTGTGTTGCAGGTGTGAACGGAACTCCCACATTTTATGCCTTATGGCTATGCCTTTATGACATTTATACCACCGTCTGAATGGAGCCTTATGGGACTTGCAATGGATATGTATAGTTATAAGAAGTACATGCTTTGACATAGGTAATCTTTAATTTTATATGTTATATCAACCACATGCTGTTGTTTAGAAAGTTTCATATTTAGTGTTCGATACGTATATATGTGGTAACGTGAAAGATTGTTGAAAACTTTAGTAGTAAATGTAACTGCAGTAATTCCTTTACATATTAATTGCTGACTTCCTGATTGTGTGCTATTCTCTGTTAACTCAGATGGCAAATTTTGCACTATGTTATACGCAAATATTTTCATTGGTGTATGTTTGATATAAATATTATTAAACAGCATTTTTCTATACTTGCTGCATAAATAAAATTTCTTTCAATCAAAACTGCTTGCTTCTCTCTCTCTCTCTCTCTCTTTTTTTTTTTTTTTTTTTTTTTTTTTTTTTTAAGAAAAATTTCTATTTAAATGGCTGATATACATTTGAATCTTATTTTATCCAAGGTTACTAATGACTACGTTTGTAATATTTTCTTATTTTTTCTTTAAAGGAAAATCACCTTTTTTTACGGGGTTAGAGGAAAATCATCTTTTAGAAGATGGCCATTTGGAACAAATTGTACCATCATTAAATTCATCGGTATTTTGTGCACCTAAATCTCCTGGAAACGATTCAGGTGAAAGATTCTCAAGAAAAGTCTTTGTTGGAGGGTTACCCCCTGACATTGATGAAGGTTTGTATATAGATATTGTTTTAATTGTGTAGTACAGTGTTGACGTTACTATCAAGGGGAAAAAAATGTTTAACTTCCATCAAAATAATGCAAGACCTGTATGTCTGCATTCACCGGCTGGACCCTGTACGAACTCGAATAGGATCTTTTGTCATACCCAACGTGTAGCCCCAAACATCGCTCCTTCGGTATTATATCGGGTTGGAGGGAAAGTTCTGTCCTATTTTAAATAGGCAGGTGATTTTTCTTGTAAATAAAAAAAACATCTGGCTAATGAGTCAATTTTTTTTTTTTTTTTTTTTTTTTTTTTTTTTTTTTTTTTTTTTTTTAGCTGCTGTATAATATAAAAGGTGCCCTTTTTTACCGTTCATCATTTACTTGTAATATTTAAAGGGAAAAACATGTCGGTAGATAAAGTGCATTTACGACACTGCATTTTATATGAATTCCAAAAAGGAAGCAACGCATCTGTTGCATGTAAAAATTTATGTGCGGTATTTGGAAAAGATATTGTAAATGTTCGTACTTGTCAAAGATGGTTTAGCAAATTTCGTTCCGGGGACCTGAGCCTCAAAGAAAGTGTTCGATCTGGACGACCATCCAAGATCGATAATGATGTTTTGCGATCCATGTTGGAAAATAATCCACATTTAATAAGTTGAGAAATTGCAGAAGAGTTTGGCATTCATCATACAACTGTTGGAGATCACATTAAATCTCTTGGGTTTGTGTTAAAGCAAAGTGTTTGGGTTCCACATGAATTAACGGAAAAGAATTTGTCTGATCGTGTAAGAATATGTTCATCACATCTGATTAGACACAATTGGGAGCCGTTTTTGGACAGGCTGGTTACTGGAGATGAAAAATGGATTCTTTACGAGAATATTAAAAGAAAAAAATCTTACTGCAAACCAGGAACATCATCAGCAAACAGTTCCAAAACCAAGTATCCATCAACGAAAAGTACTGCTTTGTTTGTGGTGGGACAGGAAAGGTCCAGTGTATTACGAGTTGCTGAAACAGGGAAAAAACATCAACGCGGATCTGTACTGCATCAGCTGGATAAATTGAATGCAGCCATCAAAGAAAAAAAAGGCCAGCATTAGCGTCCAGAAAAGGAATAGTGTTCCATCACGATAATGCTCGCCCGCATACTGCAAGTGGTGACACTACAAAACCTGAATGCGTTAGGATGGGGAAATCCTTAGTCACCCACCATATTCACCTGACATTGCACCCTCTGATTATTACCTGTTCAGATCTCTGCAAATTAACGGGGAAAAAAATTCAAGTCTTTTGAAAGTGTTTCTAAGGCAGTTGCTGACTATTTTAACTCCATGGATGAGAACTTCTACAAAACAGGAATTTACAGGTTACCTGGAAGGTGGCAACAGGTTGTAACAAATAACGGAGCATATATAATTGATTAATATTAAACACATATTTTTATAAATGAATTCAAATATTTTTTTTTTAAATACTACAGAACTTTCCCTCCAACCCATTTTTTTACACCTGCAGCTACATCTAGCTGGTGCAATCTTTCATTCTGCACAGGACATCCGAAATGAAGTTAATCTGTTTTTGAACTCAAAAGCCCTAACTTTATTAAGATCGTTTTTTTTTTGGCGGAAAACTTTCGTTACAATCAGATATATAAGCATCATATGTGATTCAGTGCTTATGAACAGAATAATGCTTATTTTTTTTTTTTATTGTAAAATTCTGCTGTTATAAAAAACTTGGAGGGGGAAAAAAAGAGTGGAACTGTTTGAATAATTTTCAATATCTTATCTGTCTCTTTTATGCAAAACATTCCAACAAGGTTATATATTTCTTTCCCAGCTCAAAAATTCCTTACTTTTGTGGATGAAAATCAGCAAAACAAAGTATTTTCTAACAACATGCTGTGCACATGCTAATCAGATTCTTCAATGCTTGAGGATAAGCTGTTAGAAAAACAGTGTTTCTATTTAAATAAGTGATTATTATTCCTCCGTATCAATGAGTATATAATTTTCATTTTGTAACCTGAAGAATAACCTATCTTGCACCCAAATATTGTTGTCAGTGTTATTTGAAATTTTGTCTTTGCCTAACTGTTACCTTAAAATGCAATTTTTGCTTAAAAGTTTTAAAGCTTCTGTTTTTTTATGTTTTTGTATTTGTACTTTATCACATACATAAATACCCTAGTTTTGTTTCTTATTGGCAGGTGGAAATAAAACAGCATACATCAGATATTTATCATGTTTTAACACTGTAAATACTAAAGTACTTAAATGTTAAAAATAATACAATAATAGAATGCATGGTTTTAAAATGGAATAGAATGAGTGAAATAAGATATTCTTCATTACTGCATCATACTGATTTCTGTGTTATTAATGTAATTATGTAGAATCTGTATTGTAGATCTCATGTAATAAAAAAGGCATGTAGTTATTGAAAATTTTAAAGCAATTTTTCTCCAATTATGTTAAACTTGGTTTTAGATCCTCATTTACTGTATTTTATGTTACAGATGAAATTAATGCAAGCTTTAGACGATTTGGTCCTTTGGTTGTTGATTGGCCTCACAAAGCAGAAAGTAAATCCTATTTTCCTCCAAAAGGTAAGCAAAATTATTTTCATATTACAATTAGTTAAAGAAATACATTTAATTATTTAACATAAATTGGCTTGGCTATACAATGTATACATTTATCATATCATTTTTTATACTTTTTATTCATATTTAGTTTGCACAAAACTGATAAATTTGCCTTTCAAAAATTAAAAGGTTAGACTTCAAAATATAAATGTGATGAATTTTGGCTTTATATTCCATATTCACTCTTTCTGAACTGTATCATTATCTCTAAAGCAGCTGAAATAAAGCAAGTAGATCTTAACTTTATTCAAGTAGATGAAAAAGAAATATTTCATGGATTAGTCTTCTGAGAAAGGGAATGTATTAAGATTTATTGAGAGAAACTGATGTTATTTCGTGAATTGAAATGTTGAAGCATTTTAGAAAATGTAAAGGCTTATGACTGTCACATATACTACAGTTAAAATATTTAACCTGCTGTCCATGATTTTAAAAAAATAAAAACGAAATTCCTAATTATTGTAGTGAATTACATAAGTGCTTCATCTTGAAATTTATTTATTCTTTATTCTGTTTTAAGTAATCCGTTTTCTTAATTAGAATTATTTCCTACTTTAATTTTCATTTTGAGATTAAAAAGTTGTGAATTTTTCATTATATTTCTCAGATTAATGTTTGTAATTTAAGAAATTATTATTTAGTAATATTCAGTTGTTTTGTTTAAGACATTGTAAGTTACTTTGATTAAAATCTTAAAATTTTTTATTGAAGTAAAATTTAATAATTATTATTATAACAGAAATGTAATTTAACTTTTCTTGATTATGATTATGTAATAGAATTATAACCAAAAAGCAGCATGGTATAATAAAATGCTCTGAAATATGCTCATGGTATAATAAAAAACTGCAAAAAGTTAGTTTGATGTTTAAATTGAGCTCATTTTTAACAAGAGGTAACAATTTTTTTAAATAGAGTGAATCTTTTTATGGTGATGTCCTCTGAAATTTATCGGTTTTTCTGAAAACATAAAAATATTACTGATGGTCATATTCTGTGAGGCTACTAGCTGTTTAGCCGATCAAAATTGTCTGGAATCATTAGTGATCTTTTAAAATTTCACTGCATTTCAGAAAATTCCATTTAAAGTGTATTTTAATTATATTTTATAGGCTATGCATTTCTGTTATTTCAAGACGAAGCTTCTGTCCAAGCTCTAATTGATGCTTGCATTCAAGAAGATGACAAACTATATCTTTGTGTATCCAGTCCTACCATTAAAGATAAACCGGTAAGACATAAACTGCTTAACATTTAAATAAGGTGTGGTAATGTCTGACTGCTGAGAAAGTGTTCTATTCTTATTTTTTTTAATGTAATAAAGCATGAACATGATTTCATTATGCAAGGTAACCAAAAAAGTCCTTGCCGTTTCTGATAAGGCATTGGAAGAATGAACCCCAACACAAAAATAGTCACCAAACCTGGTGATGAAGTGATTAGAATGGGAGTCTGGACATTAACGAATAGTATAAAAGTGTGTTACATTGGTACTTCAAACATAACTCACACAGCGACCGATTGAAATGGGCGTGTCAAAGGTGCTCGTTCAGAGTTGTTTGCTGTATGATTTTAAAGTGGGCCTGTCAGCAGCACAATCAAGTATTTGCCAGGCCTTTGGGGATGATGTCATTAATGAACGAGCCGCTAGACATTGGCTCCAGAGGTTCAAGTCAGGGAATATATCACTTAGTGATGCACCATGCAATGGTAGGCCACAAGTACTGGATGATGAGGCCCTCAGAGAGCCATAGAGAGGGCCAGTAGGCAACATGTGGTGAGCTTGATGCACACTTTCAGGTATCTGATGAAATGATCAGACTCCATTTCCACTGCATAGGAAAGGCAAACAAGCTCAGCAAGTGGGTACTCCACTCACTGTCCAATGCAAACAAGCAACAGCATGGCACTGCCTTTTTGTCATTGCTTGCTTGGCACCACAATGCATCCATATTTGATCGAATACTCACCAATGATGAAAAGTGGGTCTAGTATGGCACACCCAGGTGTTCCAGACATTGGTTGTTACCACGAGACCCTGTGCCTCACACTGCAAGACCTTCTTTCCACCCACGCAAGATTATGCTCTGTATCTGGTGGTCACCAAGTGGTGCATTAATGAGCTCCTGCCAGTGGGCCGAACCATCACCGCAGGCATTTACTCGCAGCAGTTGGTATATGTGCATCAGGCACTGATGCATAAAGAGCTAGCACTATTCAGTCGTAAGGGTGTACTCCTCTTCCATGACAATGCAGGGCCACATGTGGCTCGGGATGCCAGGGACACCAACCAGCGACTTGGCTGGGAGACACTACCCCATTCACCATACTACTACCCAGACCTTGTTCGAACAGACTACCACCTTTTCCATTCCCTGGACAACCATCTTCGTGGGAAATCCTTCAATAACCGGCCAGACCTCAAAAAGGCCCTCATGGACTTTGTTTGTGGAAAATTTTGTGTCCAAGACTCCTGAGTTTTACTACGATGGCATCTCACAGCTAGCCACTCTTTGGCAAAAGGCACTGGATGCCGATGGTGATTACTTTAAGGATTAATCGTGATTATTATTTGCTTTATGACTTTTTGTTTCTGACTGACCAAAATGGTAAGAACGTTTTTGGTTACCTTGTAGAATCACTGATGAAAAAACATTTGCTTTTTTATCAGTGATTTCAGTACTAAATGGGATTCATAAAATGTTTCAAATAAAGAATTTGTTAAGGTAGTAGAAAACTAAATTTAATTACAAATTCCAATGATTAAATATTCATCTCTATTATTAAATAATAAAGGATTAGTTTATTAATATGTTTATTAAATAGTGAAGGATATGTACATATGTATCCATATTCCTCACACTGCAGAAAAATAGTGGCATCTAGAGCCACCAAATTTTGAAGACGCACAGTCCTCTACTTGAATACATGCACTTCAAAGCCCAAATTTTGAATTTGTTCAGATATTTATTTCATATTTTGTGCAAAATAAATGCAATTTTGATTAACAAATTCAGCAGTTTAAATGAAAGTGTTTCCACTTGTCTAAGCATCAGGTGTTTCAGTTTTAATCAGAAATTTCAGTGATTAAAAAGAAATGTGTAGCCACTTCGCAACATGTAATTTTTTCAAATTTTATCAACAAACTAGGCTATTGCAGAGAAATCTGTTGCTGCTGCCTGAACTAAAACATTTTTATCTTCTATAAACAAGTTTATGCCTTTCAACAAACTGTTTGATATTTAATTTTTCTTTCAAATTTAATCTATCTGTTATTGATTAATAAACTAAGCAATTCAAAGGCAATAAATGCAGTTCTTCATCTATTATAATTATTTATTAGCTGTACCTAAGAAATAGCAGTAGCCAGACTTATTAAAATCATTACATATTTTTCCTTTTTTTATATATATATATTTTTCCTTTTTTATATATATATATTTTATGCTACTAGTCACATGAGCGACTAATATGTATAAATAATATACACCATGTCCACTAAAGTCCTTACCTAGTCTTTATTTTTGCAACTGTTGGAAGACGTACCCTTCCAATTACATAACTAGTTTCAATTTTTGCTTTTATTCCTGTTTTGGCATTTTAAAATTTAAAACATTAATTTTTAAAAATTTCAAAATCTAACTGTTTATATGTTTTCCTGGTCTCAATATTTATGTTTAGGAAAATTTTGTTTGCTTTATAAAAAAAAGTAAAATATAAGAAGTGTGACATCCATACAGTCAGAATTGACTGATATGTTTGTTGTGAGAACTGCGTATTTTATTCATTAGCTGTACATAAACTGAAGAGCAAAATGTTTGCGTATATAACTAAAAGTAAAATATTTATTAAGAGAAAAGGTTTCTGTTTTCTAAAGATTGACAAGCATTTCTGTACAGATTATTATGAAAAGTACAGTCAAAAGTCGTTAATTCGGACACCCATAATCCGGAATGATCTATAATTCGGACCTCAAAGCTACAAACTTTCTGCACATGCGTCGCGTTGACGCATGCGCGTAAGACCTATATGGCTGCGGATATGAGTGTGCGCATGTGCATAATATGTTTACGCATGCACGTTTAATGTATAATGGACGGTATAAGCTTAGCTAAAATGATCTAATTCAGTTAATGTTGCAGATTGCGTTGTTCCTTAATCTTCGAATTGGGTTCGGCTTATTATTTTTTGCAGACTGTTAGAGCAATTTTATAAAAGTAAACTTGAACTTTCGATTATGTCAAATAGAATTTCTGATATATATTTACTAATATGTAAAGGATCTACAAAGCGAAAGTATGTTTCGAAGTCCATTAAACAAAAAGTGGAATTGCTGCAAAAAAGGGATAAAGGCATATCCTTTGTTTATCTAAACTTTAACGTTTGTTTATCTAAACTTTGTTTATCTTTAATGTCCTGGCATGCAATGAATTGGAAGTTGATCTGTCAGCACTATCCTTATCTTCAGGGCAGATGTTTTTATTTTATTTGGCTTATAATTCCTTACTAAATGTAGTATTTCATCTCGATGTACTCCGTCTATGATATGATTTAAATCAAATTCCTCGTCATTATAATTCACTTCTGATAGTGAAGAAAGTGACTCGGAGGTTACTGAAAACGAAAAAATTTCAATTGACAAATTAGTCGGTATTCTCAACACAGCAATTATAGGACTTGAACAGCGGAACTTTGTAACTAAACAAGAAATTATGTCTGTTTAATAGAATTAAAGAGAAAGTATTATCACATGAAACGAAGCAACTTACATTGAAAGAAATGTTTAATAAAGTTAACAAATAAATATTAAGCTTTTTCTTTTTGTAAATTTTGATACCCTTTAGATCATAATTGTTCTTTATTTCATAAATTATGGTTTCATATTTTTAATTTTATAATTTCTGCATGCCATCTTACCAGATTTAAACTGATGATCTATAATCCGTAAAAATCGATAATCCCGAATCGCCGAAGTCCCGATGAGTCCGGATTAACGACTTTTTACTGTATTGTTTAATATTTTTTCCTCTCCCAAAATGGAGATCTTATTCATAGAATCTTAAAGAGCTCTTATTTTAGTAAACACTGGCAGGCTTTATTATTGTTGCATAGCCTACTAGTAATATCATTTGCATTAATTAAAAATATTTCTAGTTTAATAATATTTTGATATGATTATTAGATTATGAATCTGAATTAATAAATCTACATGAAATTCTAATAACATATTCTTAGCATTTGAAAACTTCTAAATAACTTGTGTGAATATTTTTTGGTGTACTAAATGTAACAAAATTATAAATTACTAGTAAAACCATTTCTTCAGCGCAAAGTGAAAATGGTGTTAAAAATCACAAATTTTGAATTAAGTATTTTGGTCAATTTTTATTGCATGGAAATCAAACCTCTGGTGTAGTATTATGTTTTATTATGAATATAACATTTTCCTGAAAATGAGTTAAGAGATTGAAGAAGTGTATAAAAAAATAGGTTTAATATTTTTACAACTTTTTTTTAAATTTAAAATTACAAACACATGAATTGTTTAAAGTACATTTGATACTGCAGTTCCAGAGTAAAAAAGTTCACTTTCTGTCTCAATTGTTTTTGTTTGATGAAACGCGCAATGGTATTAGCTAAATTTGAGTTTTTTCACACTTTTCCCTTGATAAGTCCATGTTAAACCACGAGTTGGGCTATTTTACCATTTATTGCAATTCTTTGTATATATTTTCTTTGTCTTTGAAATGTTTTTGATTGTTTGCATGCATCATATAAAAATTTTTTATTTAAAATTTTTTAGTTTTTTCTAATCCCTTTTTGTTTTTGAAGTTTATATTGTTTTGTAGTTATTACAGTAGGTTTTTACGTGATAACTTTTACTGCTTTAGTATTATATTATTGTTTATACTTGGTGTAACTTTTTTACTCTGGAACTTCAGTATCAAATGTACTTTTAAGCATTAGCTATTTTGAACTTTCCTCTTCTGTGCAAATTTTAAAAATTTTGCAGCTCAATGCGCAAAATTCTTGACCAAATAGGTCTCTCTTTTTCGTTTACTACTTTCTACTTTTGTAATATATACGTATATGTAAGAAAAATAAATAATATGTAAAAGATTAGCAGCATAAATTAATTTTCCTTCTCTATTCTAAAAAAAGTAATCTCTCTTCACTGCCTCATTTCAAGATTAATCCACATCCTATGACTTTTACATAATTCTGATAATGTAAATGGAACTAAACCTCAAACAACCAAATAGTGATTTTACAGCAGTATTAGTTATCCAATCAAAATGCATTGAGAACCAAAACTAACTCCGTCTGAATTGGGATTTCACCCTGAACATAACGTACTTGCTTTTCACACTATGGCCTATCTGGATTGCAGTCTGTCTGCTCTTTCTTTCAAACTGCAAATTTATTTAAAATGTAAACTTTTTGGAATAGACATAAATAATGTGCCAACTTCTTTGTGGCCATCACATGTCTGCTGAAATAAAAGTTGAATTAAACCTACCTTGACTGCCAAATTTCTTATTCATTGTGGATTGAAGTTTTAACATCTCTAAGCCATCAAAATTCTCACTGTTCATTACAGATTCAACCGCCTGCATTCTACTTCAGAATCTATTTCACAGATATATATATAACACCACAAAGGTATCTCTTTTCATAGGTGTACAGTCTTTGTTTGCTTTCCTTTTAATCAATTAATTCAAATACTCCTATCTGTCAGTGAATGTCATAAACAAACATATTTGTTTAACAAATTGATGCATAGGAAGAGCCAGAATTAGTTCCTGTAAATATATTCTGCTTTAACTATATTTCTTTTTCATATTTACTGAAAATATATATAGTATTTAACAAAGGATTAGTTAGTAATTTATGTCGCTTTTATAAGCTGCAGTACATGCAAAACGTAAGCAAAGTGATTGTAAATGGAACATACTAATAATTTTCTTATATGTGATTATCCCTTTGTATTGTATATTATTTAATGATTTACTATCCAAAATGGTGAACTATTTATGATATACTGTCATTTACTATAGTTTTCATTTATGATTACCATTTCCATAAGTTATATAACTGAAATTATCAGATCAGTTACTTTCTTAATTATGTAATTGTAAGTAACTACTAATTTTAATTAGATTATATAATTGCAATTACATTTTAATTGTAATTAGATTACACAATTACTTTGTAATTACATGTACTATGTGGTCATAAATGCATTGTAATTTAATTGTATTTCACAATTACTCACAATTACATAGAAATTGTGAAATACAATTACAAAGTAATTGCTTAATCTAGTTATAATAAAATGTAATTGCCATTACATGCTTCAGTTACAAGGTAATTGCAATTACATTTTGCCCAACTCTGGTTGAGAGTATATCACAGCAGCAAAGGATTTGCTCTAAACATTTCATTGATGAGTTAACACTAAAGGTGCTTAGCTTAACTTCTGACTCCAAACATATTTACATCGTATTAGAAAACTTAAATTTCTATAATGTGTATGCTTGTTTGAAGTTACCATGTTCCATATTAATGTGAGAATCATAAAAAATTTGTTTCAGTTTGTTTACTTTTTTCTGAAATTGCATTATTACAGTCTACTTTGTATGTTTCATAATATAGTTTTTGTCAAATGCATTGAAATTCAATTTTTAGTGTGTCTGTCAGCATGTGATTACTATGTATTATTAAGTGCACACAAAAAAATAATTTTTGCTAATTCCTGAAACCTAAAAAATGTGCCTAACTGTTGTCAAAATGCTTATAAAAATTAAAAAGTAATGTAATAAAAAAGTTTATCTAATTTATCCAAAGAATGTTAAAATATTTTCTTCTAAAAAATGCAGTTATGCAAATAATAATTCATTTTGGGAAATCACTGAAGTATTTAATTTAGAATTTAACAAATTTGAGAGAAACTCTCCTTCCTTGTCTGTGTTCTTTTAATTGCTTTTACCCCTCCTAATACTGTTTATCTCTATTAACTCTAGTACTGTCAAAAGTCGTTAATTCGGACACCCATAATTCTGAATGATCTATAATCCGGACCTCAAAACTAAAAACTTTCTGCGCATGCGCCGCGTTGACACATGCGCATAGGCGTTTACGCGTGCACGTAAGACCTTTTACGACTGCGCATATGAGTGTGCGCAAGTGCAGAATACGTTTTCGCGTGCGCGCTTTATGTATAATGGACGTATAAGCTAAAATTATCTAATTATCTATTTCAGTTAATGTTGATGATTGCGTTGTTCCTTAATTTTCGAATTGGATCCGGCTTATTATTTTTTGCAGACTGTAAGAGCAATTTTATAAAAGTAAGCTTAAACTTTCGATTATATCAAATAGAATTTCCGATATATATTTGTTAATATGTAAAGGATCTAAAGCGAAAGTATGTTTTGAAATCCGAAATCTGTTTATCAATTTCACGCTGCTCGGCGGGGGGAACGCCGCGGCCGGCGCGTAATGAATTGGAAGTTCATCTGTCAGCACTATCCTTATCTTCAGCGCAGATGTTTTTATTTTATTTGGCTTATAATTCCTTACCAAATGTAGTATTTCATCTCAATATGCTCCGTCTTTGATATGATTTACAAGTTCCTCGTCATTATAATTCGCTTCCGATAGCGAAGAAAGTAACAGAGGTTATTGAAAACGAAAAAATTTCGATTGACAAATTGGTGTACTCGACACAGCAATTATAGAACTTGAACAGCGGAACTTTGTAACTGAACAAAAAATTATGTCTGTTTAATAGAATTAAAGAGAAAGTATTATCACATGAAACGAAGCAAAACTTAAACAACTTACATTAAAAGAAATGTTTAATAAAGTAAACAAATAAATATTAAGCTTTTTCTTTTTGCAAATTTTGATACCCTTTAGATCATAATTGTTCTTTATTTCATAAATTACGGTTTCATATTTTTAATTTTAGAATTTCTGCATGCCATCATACGAGATTTAAACTGATGATCTATAATCCGGAAAAATCGATAATCCGGAATCGCCGAAGTCCCGACGAGTCCGGATTAACGACTTTTGACTGTATATTGCAATTTATTTTAACATTTTGTTGTTCTGAAATTCAGTAGCTTCATTAATCTGAGTATTGTATTCTGGTAAAATTTTAGTGTATTTCACTGTACTTTGCCAAATCATATTCAGGCTCTCTATGAAAGATGGTTATCGACTTTATTTTCTTAACCATTGATCCTAAATATGTATTTCCATTTGCAGCTGAACTACCTTTTAACAGATACTCATGGGCCCAAGGTTTTATGTGTTATTGATTAATGCTCTCTGAATAGGCATGCACTAATACCTTGTTTTGAGAATTCAGTAACCTATGATGAATTAATGAAGCATAAAGTTTTTCTAAGTAAGATGGAGTCTTTTATGGGAGCAATTTCAACACTGGGTATTAAACTGCTTTTGGTCCTGCAAAGCAAAAAGATCGTTAAAAAATTAAATGCAAAAATACTATACCTTTACATGAAAAATTCAGTGAGATGTGAACAATTAATAATTTCTTAAGGTTTTGTAATTTTTAAGTTTTATCTAAAATGGTTTCATTAATCTCCATTTGTTTAATTGTTGCTTCCTGAAAGCTGTTCAGTTGAAAATATATACTGAGAAATGATCTGGGCCAGCAAGTTTTATTTTCTGTCTTCACGAATTTTACAGGTAAAGGTATGGAATATTTTCTTATTAAATCCAAGTGAATAATTTTCTAACTGAGCTTTTTTTCTTCAACTTATTTTGCCTTAAAGGAAAGCTATATAAAAAAAGTTAATTTGTATTTTTAAATTTTATCTCCCATGTACTGAGATTTTCTCATAAAATGTTCCACCTTTGATATTAGAAGTACAGGTCTTGGATTGGTAGTTAAAAACGTAAAGCCTGTTGCTGCTTTTTATGAACATTTTGTATAAGTTTAAAATTGCCAAATTTATGGTACTTTTTCTCTGAATTGTGACCACTCTGTTACCTGAAATATTCTTTATGATGAATATGTAATCATTGTATCATGTAATATTCTGCTATTTTATTTCAGTAGAATTAAAATTTCATTATACTAAATTATTTAGGTTCAGATTCGCCCTTGGCGTTTAAGTGATGCAGATTTTGTACTAGATGCATCTATGCCACTGGATCCTCGAAAAACAGTGTTTGTTGGTGGAGTTCCTCGGCCATTAAAAGCAGGTGAATAAATTATCTGTGCACAGAAATGGTATATTGATATAATTATATCAGATTTGTAATGTTTCTGCTAGTTTTTGCTAAAGAGGTAAATTCTTCAAGTCTGAAAGAAAGTTTCTCAAGAAAGGTTTTGAATTTTTTCCCTCGTGAATATGATGGGGGGGGGAGACCTTGTCTAAATTTAAAATGAAGCAAAACTCGAAGTTAGGCATTAATTTCAGTTACATTCAGTTAATTTCAGTTCAGAAGTTACATTAATTTCAAATAAAAAAGGCTGTCTGCATTTCAAGAGGAAATCTAACACTTGTCTTTATTTAATAGTAGCAAATATTCTGTGTTCCGGCTGGAATAATATTATGGATGTTAGATTATGCTTGAAATGCATACAGCCTTTTTTGTTTGGATGTGCAACTTGAGGATGAAGTAAGAACTTAATTCTGTTTGTGTGAATACTGTGATACAGTAAACCCTTGCTAAATGACATCATGAGCACATTACATGTATGGCAAACTCTTGCATTCCACAAACTTTCTATGAAAAAGAATGGGTTAGTTATAATTCAGATTAAGAATGTGTGTATAATTTATATAAATCTAAATATTATTGTAGTTAAAAAGAAGAAATAAAATGTAAGTTAATTGAAATGATATTTATTACTACTTAATTAGTAGGTACATGACACAATTACTGTTTTAAGTAGCTGGTGATTTTTGCTTGGGACAATGTTGAGCAACGCATTTTGCTTCGCTGTAAGGAGTGCAAGTTTTTCAGTACCTCTCATAAAGTGCCCTGTTTTTTCTCCATTTGCATCAATCTCCATTACACATTCTGGCAGTTCCTGTGCTTATTTAACAATTTGTTTAACTTCTTGTATGTTAAAGGCTCTTTATCTTCTTCATTATTGCTATTTTTACCATCAACTGGTGTTATAAGATCGTCCAGTCCTTCATGTGTCATTTCACAATCGTTATTCTCGATTAATCATGAGATTTATCTTTATTCCATATTTGAAAATCCTTTGCTATCTATTGCTTTTGTTATTTGTACAATTTTCATGGATTTATTTTCATTGAATGGAAATCCTTTAAAATTGTTGATAACTTCTGGCTAGAGTTGATGCCAGCAAACGTTTCATTGTTGATCAATACAGTTGTTCCCATGCAAGTTTAATCAATTTTATGCTCTATCCTATGTTGAATTGCTTCCAAATTGCTATTATGGTGTTGTGCTTTTCTTCATCTGATGCTTCATGTGCAGAGATTTAAACATTACCTAATACAATAGGTTTTGAATGTTTTTATGATTCCTTTCTTCCTCCATTGGTTGGATTAATGAAGTGTTCGGTGGATGAAATAAAATTTCTACATTTGTATGCAGTGTGGTGAGGGCTTCAGCACTGTGTCCTGGAGCGTTATTGAGAATTAGGAGAATGTTAAAGCTTACTTTTAGCTGTTCTAAGTAATATTTTACTTTAATAAATGAATTTTTAAACCAGTAATTAAATAGGGCTTTTGTTATCCAATCTTTTCTGTGCCACTTGCACATAGCCTGCAATTGCTCAGAATTTTTTCCTGGCAATACACGAAGTTTTTAGATCAATAAATAAACAGAGACTTCAGCTTGGTGTTGTCTGATGTGTTTCCACATAAAGAGCAAAGTGAGTCTATTGTTAAAAGCTTTGAAGCTTGGGGCAACTTTTGTGTTCTTTGTAATGTAGGTTCATTTCCGCATTCGATAATAAAATAGGTCTTTCTCATTTGCATTGAAAACTTGTTGTGGAATGTAACTCTTATCTTAAATTAATTTTAAAAATTCAGGTTTGAATATCTCTTCTGCTTCTTTATGTGCACAGCCAGCTTCTATCTGAAGCTTAGCATTGAAGATTGGCTATCTTTGTTTAAAACGAAAGACACAAATCTAAAGGTTTGTTTCGAATGGCAGCACAACCAACAATTGAGCCTCACTTTTTTTATCCTTACTTTTTTCCTTTACTTGATCCTCAGTCCAAGCTATTAACGTTTTGTCCATTTCTTCTAGTTGAGGCATTCTTGAAATTTGAGGAATTTTTGTTGAAATATCCCCAGAAGCTATGACACTAAACCAATCTTTTCTCCATTCTCCTATACCATTTTTGATTCATTTATAGTTAGTTCATTTGCAAGCAATGAAACGTGTACTGTTCTTCCATTTATTTAAAACTTCAGTTTTCTACAATAATGTCAAAACATTTTTTTGGCTGCTTTATCATTTTTATTATTATTTTTAGATGTTGCATTGAATATTTTAAATTAAAAAATATGCAAATGCAAAAGGAAAAGGGGATAAACATTTATAAATATCTGATTACTGCTTTGATAACAGGAGTGAAATGATAGCAGTTCGACCTGAATCACTCAGTTAACAGGCATCATCAAGCAAAATTGGCATATAGGTGTTATCTTATAAAATGGAAGATCAAAAAAAGGAATAATTGTTTTTGAGCAGACTAAGAGTCATTCATGCCACATGCTCAAAGATTTCTCACTGGGAAAGTGAAACTTATATGCCTAATAAAGAGTATGTTGCTATCCCAGTATGGCCAGTGCTTCACAGCACATTGCATATAATTGAAATCCTTTTGTTTGACAAATTAATTAAATGGAGACAATTAAGATAATGCGGACGAGAAAATCATGTTCTGAAAGGGTTTATTGTACTGTAAATGTATTGGCAACACAGTCAAGATTTAATTATCAGTTTCCTGAAATATATTATATAATGTATTGCTTGTCATTTGTTTTTAAAATATTATTAATATTACAATTCTAAATTGATTGTAACCACTTTGTTTCTTAGTTTTAAAACTTGATTACAAAAACTTTTTTTTAAATCTGTCATCTTCTTTCTTATATAAATATTTTATTTTAACATATCAAGTCTTTTTAATTACACTTTTATTGACCACAAAAATCAGTTTTAAGTAATAACAGTACTTTTTTGAATCAATATATTTTAAATGTCTGAAGCAATGTATGTTCTTTATAAGTAGTAAAAATAACCAACTAATGCAGATAAAAAGTCATGAACATATTTCACATGAGGAAGACAGAACATAGTCAAAATACAGCCAGTACTTTAACATTACAATTCATATTACGGTTTTCAAAGTTCTCTTCTTTTGTTATAGGTTCCATAATTTCTAATATTATTTGGCATGTTTCCTATTCAACTTTTTATACATTTCCCTCCATAGTATAACAGTTGATATTAACTAAGCTGGTAATATATAAAATAACTAAAAAAGCAAAGCTTTACATCTGGTGGCATTAAATTTTTAATATGCAGTAATTTGAAAATTTGTGCAGGAAAATTATTTTGAAATATGCGCACATACATCATCTATAGAGTAAAACAACATAACATAAAATAAAAGTAGATATAAAATAAATAATACAAAATACATAATATGAAATATAATTTTCCCAAATGAGAAAAGCTTCTAATTGAACTTTATATATTTAATTTATTGTTATATTTTGATGATCATGGCAGATAAACTAGCCAAACTTTTATATACATATACACAACAACTGTGACAATATCTCCATCATTCCTTTCTTTGCATGTCTGGAAAAGCTCCATATCACATTTTCAAAATATCTAAATGCTATCTCTACATAGCCACTTTACAAGATTATTAGGTTATAAATCTGGAGCAGAAGGCATAAAAAATTAACTCTATGCTTGGCTAGGGGTCCAAATCAAATATCCTCCAATTGGCAGTTCCACATGATACCAATTATACCATGAAAACACACAATGGGTTTTAAATTAAAAATTTCTTGTATTCTCCCCCATTTAAAGTGTGCCTGGGAGGGAGAAGACTCAGTCACAAATCAAATTGTGACAAATTAACATTCACCATATTTTAGTTAAGCTTCAGAACAGAGCTCTAATTTATGTCAGAGCAGGATATGTGAAAAATCAACTAGGCTGCCAACTGGATTTGAATCACAAATCATCTAATTGCTAGCCAGATACAGGATGGCCAAAATAAGCCTGACCTGGAAAAGTGAATTCGTAATTTCATAAAATTGTACTCTGAACAGCAAAGAAATCACTAGAAATGGGGATAGACACAAATGGGTGTAATTATGTGCAGACACATACATGACAGCAACATATTGTTTGAGTGAGAGGTGTGGATGTATTTAATGAGAAGCTTAAGTGGGAGGTGTAGACTTGTTTAGTCATTGACTAGTTAGTTGAATGCAACATAAAAATGGTGCTAACCTCAAAACAGCGATTTTTCCTTGTCGAATATTATATGAAATACAATTAGTGGAAATTAATGTTCAGGCTGAGCCCAGGAGTACAATTTGTATTCAGACAGAGCCTGCAATGCAGATCTGACAGTTTGTTAAATCAAGTACAGCATTGCATCAATGTCGATGGTGGCCATTTGCAGCATTTTTTGTAAAGAAATTTAAAAGCTTATTTATATATTTTGTGGACCTGAGTAAAGTTTACTTACCAAGTACCAAAGAGCCTACTCAATAAAAATAAGAAACTTAAAACACAAGAAATGTTGTTTTTCTTGATTTAAAACTGGACATAGGTTCAAAGGACTGTAAACGTAATGTTTATTGTATGATGTGTAGAAAGAAGCTGTATGTTGTGTCCAGATTTAAAATGGAGACCAAATGTCTTCCCTGAGAGGAAAATAATTCTTTTACCTAATACGTGTCATTCAGGAGAAGTTTTACTCCAGAATTACTGGTGGGTATTATAGTCCATGGAGGAATACATCTGATCAGTACAGGTTCTCAATTCTACTGTAGATAAACTTAAAATAAAATTAATGCTTTCTCAGAACTTGACTCGTCATTTGTATTGGAGCAACCTCATGTAAGAACCATATTGGAACAACATCATGTAGGAAACATAAATGCTACACAATAAAGATTAATGACCCATAAGTGAGATATTTATATGAAATGCCAGTTTTAGATCAACTTACTATT